CTTCCGCTGTCGTAACAGTATCAATGACACTTTCACTACACATATATGTTGCTGTTCCTCAGTCTTTTGTTTTAGAAAATTATAACCAACTAAATAAAAACATTACATGGATCTTCTTATAACTTAAAATACAAAACAGAATCTAAGTTATAATATAAAAAAAGTAGTAACTTCAAAAAGTGGATTCCTAGGGCTATAAAACACTTTTCACAAAACTAATTATTAAAATGTGAATAAAGTATAATTTGTGTTCTTTAATAAAACTAGGGTATTTTATTAAATAATTCTATATATATCCATCAACTACAAAGCTGCTTGATTAGAAAACTACTTGCATCACTATGCATGACACTGTTCCCCCCCCCCTTTTTTTGTATATTTGTCCTCAATTTTCACAAATCAAAAACACTAATAAATAAACTGTCTGACGTTCTTTACTATTGCATTGAGGCTGCTATGACTCGTACCTCAAAGCACTGTCTCCGAGATGTACACGCCCAGACAAACAACATGTAAAGAGCTTGGATACAGACGATGGATAAAGTTTCGACAACAGTCAAGAACCGAATACACTAATTAAACGACACTATTTCAGATTTAGCTTATCAGTTTCAGACATTTGTAACTGATACGTGACAATGCTCTCTGTTTTAATTTATATATAATGGAAACTAAAAGTTCTAATACGATTTGAACTTTATTCGAAATGTTATAACGCATACGTGAAAAATTTTGTTTTCATTATATCATATCCTTCATTGACGTGACTTAACATTCACTGTTTCGATAATATATATGTGTCTGTAAAATGAAAGAGTCAAATCATTATATTTTTATTTCCTAAAAATATATATCTGTCTGACCTTCCACGACAGACGTTTAGACATGGAGGCGCGACGCCGCCGGAATGATCTTTGGTGAGATAATGAAAATTTTATGTGGCCTGCAATCGAGACTACTAATTAATTGTCAAGAGTTTCAGTGAGTATTCCAATATCCAAGAGCATATTAAATTTGAAAGTTACATTTAATATGTTAGCAGCAACTTACACAAAAAGTCGCCTCTTTTAAACAATAGAATGCTGTTAGGGAATGATGAAAATTGCGGTCATGGGCTTGGTACTTAAATGCTCGGCAGGAGCTATAATTTATACATACATTTCTGTCTCACACGGTCTTGATTTATACTCAATTTGTAAACTTCCCGCGAAAGGATTTTTTTTCTTTTCAAATTATACATTTATTTAATATCTTAACGTTATTCAATGACTTATCAAGGTTAGAACTATATATATATAATTTTGTACTACAATACGTGTTATATCACAGAGTGCTTTTCACCAAAGGCAAAATTGAAAACATAATTCGTGACGTAGAAGCCTAATGCGATATTTCATTCGCCGTAATCGCTGCTGTGGACTGTAGTTTAGACGCAACGTCTTATATTATTTAGATACTTAAATTAATTTAGATTTCTATATAGTAAGTTAAAAAGGACTCAAACCCCCATAACTCTTTCTAGTTATATGTTAATTCCTTTTCATATCCATTGCTATCAAGGGTTGTACATGTTTAATTTAAGTTTACCATACAGGGTTAATTTTAAGTGCATTGTTAAGGGGTGTTTGTTTGTAATTATGCACAAAGCTACACAATGGGCTATCTGTGCTCTGCCCATCACGGGTATGGAAACCCGGTTTCTAGCGTTGTAAGTCCGCAGACATTCCGCTGTGCCAGTGGGGGGCATTAAGGGGTGAGTGAAGCGAATTTTGTACCTTCTCTTTATATACCCTTATTCAGTATTTAATTATACTGGTACACAGAGAAAATATTTGTGGCAAAACTAGTATTAAGATAGTTAATTATATACTTAGAATTATGTATCTGGTTTGGTTTTGTTTTGAATTTCGCGCAAAGCTACACGAGGGCTATCTGCGCTAGCCGTCCCTAATTTAGCAGTGTAAAATTAGAGGGAAGGCAGCTAGTCATCACCACCCACCGCCAACTCTTGGGCTACTCTTTTACCAACAAATAGTGGGATTGACTGTCACATTATAACGCCCCCACGGCTGAAAGGGCGAGCATGTTTGGTGGGACTGGGATTCGAACCCGCGACCCGCAAACTGCGAGTCGAGCTCCTTAACCACCTGGCCATATCTGGTTTTACCTGAAAAACAGGAATATTGTAGTGCGTTTTGTTGATAAATAAAATTATCCCATTCCTTAGTACACATAGATCGATTAAAATATGACGAAAATAGTGTGGAATTGGATGTATCAGCTACTAGAAATAACGGTAACCATTCTTAATATGTATAAGAGAATGTTTATAATCCGCTTGGGTGACTGGCGTTCACGCATCGCTACACAAGTTATTCAGTCGAGCGCTCTGCCAGTTAAAAGCTGTATAACTTACGTTTGCGAAAAAAAAAAGAGCATAACTTTATTGATTACTAGCTGGAATAGCCGACCCCCTGGACGGAAGTCGTGTAAATTCATGATTAATGAAAGGTTATCTTAGGACGTGAAAAGTTGCTTCTCTTACGTGTAATTGTAAAAAAAACGCCCATAAAAACCGGAAAACTGAAAATTTTTATGTATCTCCCCGTGATGGGCTCAATGAACCTCCAAACCAAATTTGGTGAAGATCCATCTACACGAGGAGTAGTAGTGGTAAAAAAAAAACGCCCATAAAAACTGCAAAATGCAAAACTGAAAATCTGTATGTACACCCGCATGGACCTAATGAGCCTCCATATCAATTTTGGTGAAGATTCATGCACAGGAGGTGAGGTAGTGGTAAAAAACGCCCATAAAAACGGCAAAACTAAAAATTTGTATGTATCTCCTCGTGGGCTCAATGAACCTCCATACCTAGTTTGGTGAAGATCCATCCACAGGGGGAGAAGTAGTGTTAAAAATCGCAAAAACGCCCATAAAAAACCACAAAATGCAAAGCTGAAAATTTGTATATACCCCCGCATGGACCTAATGAACCTCCATACCAATTTTGGGTGAAACTTCATGCACACCCTGCGAAGTAGTTACATAGACATACGACAGATAGTACTATTATATTTATAAAGATTTAATTTTACCCTCTTCAACGATATTCTGGTGTTAAAAACAATACGTCTCCCACCTGATATTTTCCCCTTCTTCCAAAACTAGTTTAGTAAGTACAACAACCTGTCTTGCAAGAACCGTCTACAATCAGGTCATGGTTTCTACCTTTTATTTTTTTGAGTAGTTACTCACGAACTTTTAGTTGGAATATTTCAAATGGAGGTACTTACGTCATTAGTCAGACTAATAATACGACTTTTCTTATGCTTCTCTACATGAAAGTGCCTCAAAGAAGTAACTTACTACTAATAAAAACAAAAGAGCGATAAAAATTAAACGGCATGTATTATCAAATATTGCTAGCTGTTCCAACCTCTACCTTCACGGGATAGGCGTGGCCTAGTGAATATCGTGTTCTTTGCTGCAAAAACGCGCTCCGCAATTTAGGGCCGTTGATGTGCTATAAAAGTGACGATCAAATTTCACTATATGGTCGCATAAAACTAGCTCAAAAGTTGGCAATGGGTGGAATTACCTATCATTCCTCTACTCCATCAGTTCAGAATTAGGGACAATTATGTGCAGGTAGTCATTGCATAGTTTGCAAATGACAAACGAACCCCCCCCCCCCAAGACACATAAAACAACACCAACTGTAAATACCTATACAGTGAGCAGCTGTTACCAAACGTAACGTAAAAAATAACAGCGTACTGACCAAGAGTATTATATGATATTATTTTTCGTCGGTTTTATGCTAAACAACGGACTATCTGCGCTCTTTCCATCGCGAGGGATCGAACCCCCGGATTTTAGCATTGTAGGTCTGTAAACTTACTTACCACTGACCCATGGGTAAAGTTAGCTTAGGTGATTTTTGAGTTATATATGTTTCAAGGTTAACAAGACCAAAGTCACGCGAATTGAAACCGACATTAATCAGAATTCTCAAAATCAAAAATCTTAAGAAATCTTATCAAATGTTTTTTTTTATAGAAAATGAAAATTATTCATATGTTGAACATTAAAGAGGATTAAAGTTTAGCAGTGAGTAAATAAAGCTTTGCTTGTATTTTATCAATCGCCAATGACTTGATTACATATGTTTCGTATTTTATACCAGAGCCAACTATTGATTATATGCTGACATTAATATTAGAAAGGATTTTACTTGATAAATATTTTTTACTCGCACTTGGACTTGATAACAATAATATACGATATTTTAGTTTTAGCACAAAGCTACAAGATGAACTATCGTTTCTCTGTCCACCGCAAGGAATCTAACCCCGGATCTCTACTATATCTGTTCGTAAACTTACCGCTGCTCCATCACTGTCGCAGTTCATAAAAAAAAGCTTTCTTCGAGCAATATGTTTTTCTGAAATATCTTCCATACTTAAAAAAAAAACTGTACGGAGGAAATAATTATGATAAATAAACAAATAAGTAATAATCGGAAAATATTATAAGATGCCATAGTATTTGCTTTGTTTTTATCGGGTTATGTTTTTATTTTTTTCAACGACTATTACTTACATTACTTAATCTTTATCATAAATGATTAAAAAAAACATTAAATAGTAGCAAGTTGAATATACTGTCACTTCCTCATGGATCAAATAACAACAACAACAAAAATGCTACAACAATAGTAATAAAGCTTTTCACCCACACTGTGCCCTGCCAGGGAGACTAGATGCTTTGAAAGATAAACAATACATGAAATAAAGTAGTTGGAAAGATAAAATTAGCTTCATGTACATAATATTTCACTCATAAACGAAAAAAACTTAAAAAGAGGAGAAAAAGGTGTAATAATTAAAATTAGTTTTAACGTAGAATGTAGGTCAAGAAAGTCGCCAAGTTCTTTTTGCCCTAGCTACCTATTGTTTTGGGTCATCAACCTACGGTATCATTAGTGTCTTCTCGTGAGAAATATTCCTGTAAAGTTGTACATACTATTTCAAAGTAGACAGCGGTCTTTCCATTGGTAGATCAGGTGTGCCCTCAAGGATATAGCACCCTTATTTTGTGATGAGAATGACCAAGAGTCACGTGGATAGCACACTCATTCTGTGAAGACAACCATTGTTGTTTGTGTCATATAGTATACAGTTATCTATTAGGCGTCTTAATCTATCTGGCCGCTTTTTTCATTTGTGTTGAAAACCCACTTTTTTGATACCTAAACGTTCTGTAGGTTATGGGTTATGTTAAAATCCTAACCAATTAGTAAGGATATTACAATGTTGTACATAAAATTGGTTTCCAGAAACGAAGAAACATAATTACGTTATGAGCTAACGTTGAATATATACATCAAAGTTTAATAGAAATATACAGAAGGTTATAAAGTTCGATAATCAGAAACTGAATAATCAGTTCGTAAAAAGCTTTCCCATATAGTCATTTCAAATAATTATTATTTTGTTTCTTCAATTAATACAGTATTAGAATTTTGAAAAACACATTGTTATAATCATTGAAAGTGCGTCAATTAATGAGTATACACTGTTTTTGCATAAATACTTCAAACAAAAGGTCTGGCACAATGCGCATTCGAGGAGACAGAAGTTGAAAAGTAGCCTTGCAAGTCACACAGCAAGCTGCGTTACAAGGGGTCATTGGCCGCTTGATTGTTGATCACATAGCCTCAAATATACACCTTTGAAAAGGAATCTTATATAAATCGCGTTTTCAGGAATACATGGAGATGTCAAAACAAAAGTTCACGTATAACGTAACCAATTCAACCAACACTAGTTTTGTCTTATTTTGTTTTGTTCTTTTACAATATCAAGGGGTACTATAATTAGACTAATACCCAAGTTAAGTGACGCTATAAAAGCCACCAGTTCGATTAGCTTTTGCGGAAATTCACAATACCATGGGTAACCAAATTATGATTACTTTTGTGACATTTTATATATAAGACAAAAGTATGCTATTGTGATTATTAACTTTAACTATGAAGACATATATGGAAAAAAATTATTTATATTTGTGTCTCACAGTCATACTGCTCGTTAAACAAAACTATGATCGCCATTCTCTGCTAAAAACAGGTTTTACAACAATCTTTAAATCAGTGGGAGAAATGTTTAACATACTACTTCGCATAAACTTGTTAGAACTACTTGCTAGATCATGATTGTAGGCTTCACTTTATTTCCTGTTAAGAATGCTTGATTTCACTCTTACACTAGTATTAGTGGTGTTTAAAACATAGATTTACTTCAAATTCTATGATAATTATTGTCTGTTTTATTATTATTATTCCCAGTAATTGTACAATTATAGTTTACATGTATTAATTACAGACCAACAAAATTCTCGCTGTAAAGAGTATCACAATATTAGCATCCTCGTTCATTTCTTACATACAGGTCCGCTTTCTTTCTTCTTGTCTGTTCGTTTGCTTACGTTAATATCAACTAAATACTTGCTTAAAATGTATAAGACAAGGCTTGATTACATGTTGTATTTGCTATTCTCATCATAACAAAGAATAGTACTAAACATTTGTGTGTGTGTGTGAACTGGACAAAAGTTAGTAATCATTCATCAAAAATATTTAACTTTTTCGACTACTTTTTTGCACTGTGTATACAATTACAACCTAATTTACATTAATTATGATTGCATGTAGTTATACTGATACACTCAAACTAAGAAATCAGAACTGATTCATGAAATAATTTTAAAACTTACCTGCGCACAGTTTTGCTTGCGAAGGCCATCTTCTCTTATACCGTTTACACCCATAGTTTTTTCTTTAAAACCATCACCAATTGGCCCGTTGGGTGAGGGGCACGAACCACCATCCGTTGCCTCGCTGGAGTCCGGTTCGTTCTCCGACACGTCGTCATTCTGCTTGACCTCGGACCCCCTACCTTTTTGTTTCGGGCTACCTTTTCCTTTTTTGTTGATCTTTGGTGATCTATTTTTGTCATTACTTGATTTTTCTTGAACTCCATCGTCTACAACTTTATCGATCATACAAAACATATTTCTATCATTTAAGAAACTCCTCTTGTATAAATGAGCGTACGTACTAAACTAAACCTGTTATAGAACGACAGTCGCCATCACAACCAATTGTGCCCTCTAGTATGAAAAAGTGTCTTTATACTCATTAGTAAATAAAAAATATATAAGTAGTACAAGGAAATATAGAAAAATGCGATTGTGTATATGTAATTTTCTAGAGTGTATTTTTTTCTTTTAAGATTAATTTATTACATTCAGCTTAGCTTTGTAAAAGATTTGTACAAATGTTTGAAAACAATTACATTAATAAGTAAAGTATGAGAACCGCTATCAAAAAAATATAAACTTGAAAATTAATTCGTTATCATGGTTAGAAGTCTATGGCTCTATGAGATCACTTAAGTCTAATTAACAGTTAGTTATTAATTTATTACTTATGTTGTTATTTGTACTGATTAATAATTAATTTATAACTTATTGCAGCCTTCAAGGAAAGTTCTAAGAAGGATTTAATGTGGTGGAAGGAGCCAAGAAACAATTCTTGGTGTCCCATAGAAATGAATACTCGACATCAGAAGCAATGGAAACTTTTAAATGGTAAGAACTAACTATATGAGATTCATAGGACAAACTAATAAGATACTGTATTCGAACAGATACTCTCCATAAATAAGTAACTATGCCCACGTTGTATATAATAATGAAATATCTTTCTAAGAGTCAAACGGAAAAAGTCTCCAAAACCTTTTTCATGAATGTTGATGGTTTCATAATGGAGTTTGTTTTTCAGCGCAGACCTGCACAATGAACTACCTGCGTTCTATACACCGTGGGAAATCGAACCCAAGATTTTAGCGATGTAAGCTCAGAGACTTACCATTGATCCTTCACGGGACTTCGTGAATAATTAAATTTAGTAAAAACAACAACAACAACAGATAATTGAATACAGTTCTATCCTATTTCAATGTGTAGTTTAAATTCAGATCATTAAACAAATATTTTCAATATTCATACTTATTTATTAATTTTTTCTTTTCAGTTATCCTAATATTTTTGAATCCTACTATTATCTTTAGTTTCAATTTTTAAATAATTCCTTTTTCTAATTTTTCCTTTTTTCGTTATTTTAAATCCTTTTTTACTTTATTTAATTATTTGTAATCTTACCTTTCTCAAATGTTGCAGCTCTCCAGTGGTTCTGATAAATTATAACGCTAAAACCAAGCTTTAATACCTGTGATGGGCACAGCACAAATATCCCATTGTATAGCTTTGAGCTTAACTACAAACAAACAAACATTATTGTTGCAAATTATAAGTTAAAAGATGTTCTAATCAATTTAATTTACTATTTGGACTGCTCTATGCGCAGATGTGTTACCTATTACGGTGGTATGTTAAACATCTTAGGTATTTTTTTCTTAGTTTAGAGAGGTAAATTTTTCTTGTTTACCAGAATTTTCAAAAAGTTTCGTACTTGTAAGTTTGGATCATGTGTAGTACATACAGCGCACAGACAGACAATTTTGAAATGAGGTGACTTTATATCGAGCTAGTCATAAATTGTCATGGGTCATTCCTCCTTTGGTATTTCTGAACACTCTCACGGAAGGTGACACTGGAGAATTCCTTAGACTTGTGCTAATGTGTTCTCGCTAGGTTTAGGACGATCAAAACTGTTAATTAGGGAATGTGTTGCTCTTTCAGAGGAACATGATAATGCATATAAACAGAAGCAAGTAATTAAGATTGTGATGTAAAGAAACTTGAAAATGAGTAAATTAATAATCTTAATATAAGCATACATTAAACATAAAACATTCAATAAACAAAGTGGCAGTAAGAACAAAAAATAATGAGCAATTGGTCGTACCTATTATGATAGATATAGCCATTTAAACCACCAATGCCACCTAAAAACCTTCCTTACAAACTTGAATTGCATATTATAACTACCAAGGAACTTTGTCGTACCGTCGATAACGTATTCATTTCTCTGTACAAATCGGCATTTTAATTTTAAAAACAGTCTTCTTTGGTACTGTATGCTCGAAGTAAAGAAAAAAGGAACAATCAACGTTTTTCTTGATCAACAATTCTTATGTAATAAATAAATGCAACACTTTATGGTATTAAAATGTTTATTTTATTGGTGGTCAGATGGCGCCACGATACAACTACCAATTTTCACAGTAAACTAAAAAGAATTGTTTTATTTGTCGCATACATTATTAAATATAATGATCCTACTCACAAGGTGGATAAGATGTTATTGTATCAAAAACTATTTTTTTATATTATCTTATTATAAAAGACATATTTCTGCAACCAAAATGTCATTAAGTAGTTTAACTATCATTATTTTACAAATAGACGCATTTTCAACAGCACTGGGCCCGGCACGGCCAGGTGGTTAGGGCGCTCGACTCGCAATCTGAGGGTCGTGGGTTTGAATCCCCGTCACACCAAATATGCTCGCCCTTTCAGCCGTGGGTGCGTTATAATGTGACGATCAATCCCACTATTCGTCGGAGTAGCCCAAGAGTTGGCGGTGGGTGGTGATGACTTGCTGCCTTCCCTCTAATCTTACACTGCTAAATTAGGAACGGCTAGCGCAAATAGCCCTCGTGTAGCTTTGCGCGAAATTAAAAAAAAACACAATCAACATCACTGAAACAAATAAGTGAATAATGTTACTTTTCATTTAAAAAGTAAATCACAGAATTTGTATACTTATAGTAGTTATAGAAAAGTTAGGTTAATTCCTCAATCTGTATCAAATTTAAAAGGGTTCGTACATGGTTAAGAGGGCAAACATCTATCGATTCGTATTAAATATCTTCATATTAAATATTTAAAGTATACTAGTACTTAATTACAGGTACGTTTGAATTCTGCTTCCTTAACTTGTATGCATGTATGTAGTCAAGCTAATAATCTTGAAGTCACTCCAACGAAGTGTGTAATAGAGATGTAACAAAAAAAATCAAGTTTCTAACAAACTTTTTATTAGAAATGTTTAGCCAAGTACACTAGTACTTAATTACAGGTACGTTTGACTTCTGCTTCCTTAACTTATATGCATGTATGTAGTCAAACTAATAATCTTGAAGTCACTCCAACGAAGTGTGTAATAGAGATGTAACAAAAAAAATCAAGTTTCTAACAAACTTTTTATTAGAAGTGTTTAGCCAGTCTTGTGACAAGAGTGTTACTGTTCGAGTATTTAAGATCGCAGAACCACATTAGTAAATCTTATAATTTCTTATAATTTTCTTATAATTATTTCTAGTAATTTTATAATTATACATGTGTATTTTCGACTTATAGAATACCGTGATTAAGCAGCTTTGATATCCTTCATGCACACGCTATCCTGACAAAAACGCCTTACTCAAGTAATAACGTCTGAAAAACAAAAAATGGTGCTGTGTACAAGTTTCTGTTACAGCCAGCGGCACAAGGAAAACTCGAGAAATTATGAAATATGGTTATGATTTGGTTCAGAACGCCTTAAGAAGTTTGCTTTTCTTATAAATAATTCGCTCCCCAGTGGTGGGCAGAGCACAGATAGTCCATTGTGTAGCTTTGAGTTTAACTTCAAACAAATTTATAAATAACTCATAATTTCAAGAATGGTACTATTAAGTTTTTGTTTATTTATAATGTTTTTAAAATACAGAACAATCTTTTCCCACATAAATAGAAAGGGAGATTTTGAACGATTACAATTAATTGTGTATAGCCTTACCAACGCATGAAATCTCCAGCATTTTTTACACCACTGATAACTGGATTTTATTTTTCAACTGTTTCTATCGCAACTTAAAACGTTTTTCCATATTTCGTGCGAGAATTTAGTATCACGTGCTTTAAATTTCTAATTCTGTAAAATGTTTCATGAATTACTGGGATAGTCACGCTTTTACACTATACCCATGACGATGCTTAGTTTTACCAAAACATCGTTCACGAATTAAAAATCTTCTCTAATGAAGGTGGTCGTTTACAAAAATAAATGCTCGAAAATGTTCAATTTAACTTTAAAGTAAATACCATCACATGTCTAAGGTAGCAGGTCTTATAAAATATAAATAAAATTACATCGATATTAATTTAAGCACTTCTGAATTATCTTAATAATGTGGATTTCTACCACACATAATGTATAACAACACTTTAAATAAGTAAAAACCATATTGCAACCCAACGACCCTGATGTACTTTTGTACTGAGAGAAAATTAAATCTCGTCAATAACGGTGTAGTTGAAATATTACAATGAAGGATATTCTTTTAGATTGAAAACCCTTATAAGATATACATCATGATATTTGGTATCTTGTAAATGATTTATGCAAAAGTATAGTATTCTAAGCCTTCCACCGTAAACCTAAAACAGACAAACTATTGAACCACAACAATTAAAGATTTTGTTCAGCAGAATTTTTTCAAGAATAAAGCAACTAAAAAATAAAGTGACTGGGCAGGAAAAAACTTTACTAGACAAACAAGCGTAATGAAAGGAAAACATTGAATAATGACAAGAATATTCTTTACTTCATCATTTTCCTGCTCGTGACTTGGAGTCAGGTCAACAAGACTGAGTTAACTTCCCTTGACCAACATTAAGGAAAATCATACAATTTCACGCTATACAAGTTTTAGTTTTGGTGAGAATTATATTATTAATGATAAGAATTCCTGGAGCGCCACGAACGCTTTGAAACCAATGTCTCTATTTAACAAACTCATTAACAACCAAGGAAAAGCAAAGTTTCTGACATCTTTATCTCCACATCTAACCAACATGTCAGCAGCTCATTAAGCTTAAAAATTCACCAGAAAGTAGGCAAGCTGCGAAATAGACATGTCAATGATCATGCTTTTTAACCATGTGTAACAATTCAAAGGTAAAGATTAGTATAGTTCATGGTTGGGTATACGTTTAACTAAATACAGAAACTTTAGCATTATGTAAATATCATACATTAAACGTAATCATGACTTATTATAGAATACAAACATATTTTCATTTACTTAAATTTTCAACGTTTAGCATAAGTTTTCCTATTTATTCAAAATATCTAGATGAACAAGATGTACTTCACTTTA